TTTCAACCTATTCCATTATCCATATAAAAATTCACCTACAGCCTAGTTTCTATTTCAGAGCTAATCTGTGAGGATGAAATGAAATGTTTCTCATCATTCTTAATGGAGAATACCATATTACTATAAAAATTGTCACAATTCTGAAAACTATAGATTCATATTTAATTGTAAGAAATATAGATTTCATGTTTTCTTTTCCCAGTTTCCTCTAATGGTAGCATTTTAGAAAAGTTTTGTACAATAACACAATCAAAATATTCATATTGACACAAATTAATGTAATGTTTTTTATATTGGAGGAACAGTGTTATATGTGCCATATTGTAAATAACTAGATTACAAAGTAGTACATGTCCAAATCTGTCCTTTCCAAAATTTGAGACATTCAGCCATGAGGTCCACCTAACGTTCACATTATCAAAACCTTGCTGTAAGACTAAAGGAAAATTATAGACCAATCTCTCATGAACATAAAATCACAAATTTTAAAATCAAATTCAGAAATATATAAAATACATCATAAATAAGAAGTGTTTATTGAACATCTCTCTCTCTTCCTTTCTGTAACTGTGCCTTTCAAATAATAATTTTAAAAAAAGCACTGGATTTGGAATGAAAGAAAATTAAATTGTCCATATTTTTAGAGGACATGATCAGAGCAATCTACAATTAACATTAATAGTAAATTTAGCACTGTAGTTGGATATAAGGTCAGTATACAACAACCAATTATGAATACACCATAAATAAACACAAAGTAAAATTTAAAAATAAAGTTACCCTATATAAGGCAGAAAAAGTAATACTTAAGATGAAATTAAGGAAAGATGTATAAGATCACTACCATGACAACTATAAAAATTTTTAAAGAAAAAAGGCTTAAATAAGTGGAGGTTATATCATGGATTGGAAAAGTCAGTATTATAAAGAAATAAATTCAGCCCAATTTGTCTACATATTAAATGGAATTCCATCCAGAATTTCAAGTCATCTCCATTTTTTTTTTCTTGAGCAGCAGTCAGGTTGATTTTGAAATTTATAAAGAAATGTAAAGCACCAAGAACATTTAGGGCCATCTTAAAGAAGAACAGAACGAGATTAACAGACACCAAGATTTAAAGTCAGGGTTGCTTAAAGCAGTGAGATATTTATACAAATACAAGCAGACTAATGAAATAGAACAGAGTCCAGAAATAGTAAAAAATTATACTAACATACATAAGTATAGTGTCTTTACAAGATTGGCCTGCCCTCACTGATGCTTGGTATTGTCTTTCTTTTTCATTTTAACCAAACTGGAATTATTGTTTACTGCTTATAAGAAAGCCCATTATGAGAAGTATTATGGAAAACTGGAAGGAGCTACTAATGCTGAACAAATACATATCCTCTTTGACAGGAATGCCACTTCTGAGCACAAACTCAGTAGATCTATGTTTCTATGTCCATTAACATATAGAATACTACTCACAGTAGTCCAAGCTTGAAACAACCTAATTTATCATAAATAAAATGAATAGTTTATATTCAAACAAAATACTGTTATTTAGCATTAGTGAGTTACAACTACATGTAAAATATGCATGTCATAATGTTGAGAAAAAGGAGCAAATTACAAAAGAATATATGTATCATTCTCTTTACTTAAAGTGAGAAAAAAGGCCAAATAATCTATAATATTTTAAGTCTGGATATTGGGCTAGAAATATGGTATCTTGAGAAACAGTTTCTGAAGGAGGACTTTTGGAGTCCTGGTAATATATACTATTTGGTTTTTCATGTATGTAAATTAAGAAATAGCTTAAAATTACCTATTTGTTCCAAGTAGCATCATTCAACTTTTCTTTTGGAAACTCTTGCTTTTAACTGTGTTTACAGAAACTATGTGTAATACTTACTTGTGGATTCTCCCATGTAGATTGACCTACTGCTGAAGTATTATTTTTTTGCTTATTTTAGGGGAGAGTGCAAATGTAGTCTCCTTCTAACATACGTTATGCAGTCAAGTTTCCCACATTTGGGGAAATCACAGGGGTCAGCACATCCAGAGAGTGCAATAGTTAAGCCTCACCCTGGGAAAACCACCATTGTGATAATGGTACCTCCCCTGCTAGGTAAGCATTGAAGTACTCTTTTGATGTCTTACATGATTTGGTCTCTTGCTTACATCAAAGAACTTCTTTGAAAGCCAAAATTTTAATCATCTTCTGCTTTGAGAAAATAATTGAATTGAGGAATATGAGAAAAACTGGCTTTGGTCCCCAGTGTGATGTGGGCTGCAATGAAGAGCATCATGGGAAGGCATAAAACCACCATGAGGGAACTAGACTCTTTTCCTGCTTCCATTTGGAATTGTTAGTCACTCAGTTTTCCAAACAAAAATGGAGCAGAATATCAATCTAAATGGTTATAGAATAGTGTCTGTGTCGAGGGGAAGTATTCTAGGTCAAAGGCTAAGTCTGTGAAATGAAGCAGAGAAAATCAGAATCATAGGAGTTCAACAGAAAGATACTTCCTAGATAGGAGTCAGGGCTCAAAGAAGGAACCACCAGCTTTTGGGCTAGGAATTAACAACTAGCCACAGTACCTGATCAGAGAATACAGAGGCACAAGATGCATTTGAGGAAGAGTAGAGTTTCTTCATTTTTTTTTTTTTGAAGTTTCAGGATAATCTCTTTACATTAGCTTTCACCCTTACTAACTTTAAATGGCTTTATAATGCAAAGATGATCTTCATTTTATCTGATAACCTAGTACAGGAAGGGGGAACCTCCAGTCCATAGGTCATAAAAGGCCTCCAAAATAATTTGGTTGGGCCCTGCAAGGCAACCCCAGGTGGGACTAGAAATTCAATGAATCTAGAGTACCCTACTTTTTAAGCTGATAATTTTATGTGGCCCATAAATGATGTTATAAGTCTCCAAATGGCCCCTGGCAGTATAAATGCTTCCTACCCCTGCCTCAATGGAAAAGAATAACTAAGGGAAATCACCAGAAAATTAGTTCTGAATTAATCTAGTGTGTTTTTCTAAATTAGCAGATGGACAGGGATGAAAGACACTTGTATTCCTGTCACATATCATAATTCCTTTGAACATGGTATGGTTTCATTATTTAGTTAAAAGTGACTTATCGTAACACATATAAATTATACCTAACACACAGAGTTGTGGAGGGGATTACATTAGCCAGTATCTGTAAATTAGAATAGTGTCTTGTCCAAATGAGCATTCATTAAATATTATTAATTATTAACATGAAGAGGCACATCAATATCATTAGCAAGTAATAAGATCTGGTGACAGATCAACTAAAGTTATGCTTCCCTAATATGGTTTCAGTAACAAGTAATCTTTATAAAATATTTATTTATTTGAAAGGCAGTTACAGAGAGAGGGAAAAATAGATCTTCCATCTCCTGGTTCAGTCCCCAAATGGCTATAACATCTGGAGCTAGGCCTTTCTGAATCCAGGAGCCCAGAATCCTAACAGGGTCTCCCACGTTGGTGCAGGGGCCCAAGGACTTAAACTATCCTTCACTGCTTTCCCAGGCACATTAGTAGGGAGCTGAATAGGAAGTGAAGCAGCCAGGACTTGAAAGGGGGCCCATATGGATGCCAGCATTGCAGGAGCCAGGTCAACAAGCTAAGCAGCAATGCTGGCTCCATGAATAATCTTTGTTTTAGGAATAAAGATTTGAAGGTCATCTGTACACCACTTGGATTCAATTTGGAACTCTTTCAGTTTATGGGGAGGAAAATGGAACTTTCTTTCTGTTAAGTAATTGTCAGCCCAGGTGTTTAGGCTTAGAGCTGCCTTGTGGTAAGGTGTTGAGTCCTTCAGGATTACTTTGAAGACTAGCTTCTACAATGGTAATGTCAGTGAAAAGCTCCTAATTTGTCCCTTTGGCTGTAAGCAGAATTACAAAAACAGAGCACAAGATGATTTATCTAATGGAAAGGTTTGCTTTGATATTTTCAAGAAGCATGTGGCCAGCACTGTGGCACAGCCAGGTTAAGCCACCGCCTACAACACCAGCATCCCATATTAGCGCTGGTTTAGGTCCTGACTGCTCCACTACCAATCCAGCTCCCTGTTAGGGCACCTGGGAAAGCAGCAGCAGATGGCCCAAGTGCTTAGGTCCCTGCCACCCATGTGAGAGGCCTGGAGAGAGTTCTAGGTTCCTGGCTTTGGCCTGACCTAGTCCATGCTGTTGCAGCCATTTTGGAAGTAAACCAGCAGATGGATGATCTCTCTCTGTGACTCTGCCTTTTACATTAAATAAATAAGTAAATAAGAATGTAAATTTTAAAAAAGGGTACAAAGTGAAAATCTTATTAAACTTATTTGTTTCATTGGAGTTCCACAAAGAAACAAATTCTTTTAAAATCCTGAGGATTCCTTGCCTAATCTAGAAATAAGAAATGCCAAGAATATGAATTGAAGTGTTCAAGTATTAATACTGACAGATTTAGTGACATTGGATAAAACAAGTTTAGAAAAAGGAGGTTCATGTTGATAAATAACTTATTTTTCTCTATTGAAAAGTATAAGTGGTACTTAAGATTCAGTCTGGCCTTTTCATCTGTCTTCTTTGGAGTACCACACTGTAAAACAACTCAAGCAGCTTCCAAATAAAAACAAAATACCCATCAAACCCAAAGTCCCATGTGAGAAACTTTGATAAAAGAGAATTCTTTTGATATGACATGCCTATGTATATAAATGATTATATAGATTTATATATTAATTTTAATAACAGCACTGATGGTAATTAATTCCTTTTCAAAAACCTTAAGAAAAGAACGATTTATCAGTTCTAACCTGTATATCAATATTATACTATTTTTCAAGGCTTAAGTCTTTTTTTTTAAAAAAGGCACTGTCTATACAAAGAAGATAATTTAAATTAACCAACCATGCCCTACAAACGTAAATAGAAATAACACTGAGTATTGATTAAAACAAAAAGTACTTAAAAAACCAACATTAATGCTTACCAACTCCAGAGGTTATTGATTCTGCATCAATGTCACTAGCTCTTTTTCTTGCCACTTCAGCTAGTGCCAATTCACCCTTATCTAGTGCAAGGTAATGGATATCCTTTGGAAATAAAGCAAAATAAAAGATTAATCCAAAATGATCTGTGGGCAAGTTACAAAGAAGACTCCGAAAGAAACAATGTTCAGATTACAAAATAGACAATGCAGAGGAATAATTTTTCTAATTAATTTTTCAGTTTTCTCATATAATTTTTTTTCTGATTTAGAGATTACAGCTCTAACCAAAGGCAGTGACTTAAATAAATTATTTTATGCCTTAAGGAGAAAATTCAAGTTTTTCATACAGCAACTGACATACTTGGTTTTGCAGGGAATAAAAACCTTAGTTGCTAGCTTTCTTTGGTGAGATTTTGATATCTGAGGGAGCATCTTCAGGATTATTATTACAGACGTGCATTTTTATGTATATTGTACATATTTGTTAGTATTAATACTATTATTATTATTTTGAATTCCATCAGTATCTACTAAATACCAGGCCCTGTTCTGGAAGATAGAGATCAATTATAGTATCATGTCTCAACAAGCTGGGAGCTCCATGGAGAGACAGACCACTAAACCAATAGCTAATTACATAAAAGTAATATCAGTTTTATGGCAGATATATTCACAGAGTGGACCCAAAGAGGAGGAAATAATCCTTGATTTGATTCTTATAGGATGAGTAAGTATTATACTAGGACGGAAAAGGGAGAAAAAGTTAGAGAGAATGAATTATATCTGGTGTATATATTGAAAAAAGCTTGAGAAGACAAATCTCTCAGGCAATGACAAGTCTTTCAATATGGAAGGGGAATAGGATGCGAGAGAGAAAGCTATGGAAAAATAGTAATGAACAAGTAGGTAAAGCCACTAATTCCTTTCAGTATACAGAATGTGGAAATGAATATTTTATTGCAATGAAAATGGATAGACAATGAACAGCTAGGTTACAATGAAGAAATAAATATAAATGGACTATAATCATGGAAAGATATTTTATGTTAGTATTCAAATAAATGCAAAGTGAAAAATGTCATTTTCAATTTGGATATGGTTTTGAAAGTTAATATTTACTGGCTGCAAAGTTTTGGGGAAACAAGTATTTACATTCAGCTATGGATTGGTAGAGCAAGTGTCAGCAAACCGGTCCATGGGCCATATCTAGCCTGCATTTGTACAGTTCTCAAGAATAGTTGCAACATTTTTAAAAGGTTGGAAAAACCAGGCTCAACCTCTATTAATGAACTCTGAATGGCTTTGGAAATTAGCTTTTGCTGTAGACTTGAAAATGTTTCAAGCTAAAATTACAAGACTAAACAGTCCTTATATGTGATACTTATATGTGAAACATACTGTGATAAAGTCATTTCAATGAGAACTAACATTTTTTGAATTGCAAGTAACATCAGGCCTGCACTGTCAAAAGTTAAAAAAAAAAGTGATATCTCCTTTCCTATACAAGTTCCTAGCGATACATTTTCTAATTTCAAACTACAGTAATGTTTTTCAGACCTCTATGCAAGTGCAAAGGAAATTTCCATATTCCAAAATCCATTTAACTGTGCAATTGAGGAACTTTAATTGGAAGTGATTTGCAATGTAATGACATGCTAAAAGGCATTCTAGCCTTTTAGCTAACAGAATTCTAAAAATGCCTTACAATCTGTGAATATGCTCAATTAAAACCATATGCTCATGGACTGATATCAGTATTTGGCAGTACCTATGTATGTGGAAAGACATTTGCAAAGGTGAAATATGTAAAATCTCATTGTAGATCAGAAGTAACAAGGCAGTTGTAGATTTTTCATGATAGGGAATATTAGCTTTCAGCCCTAATTAAGTGCAATGTTATCCCCTCAAAAGAATTCTGTTCTTCACATTTGTAGACCTGTGCTACCAAAATTGCACTCGATTATTATATTCTTAATTTCTTCAATACAATTAAAAAATTAGTTTTCTCTCTAGTTATAGAAGTACCTATGGGACAATTCCAAGGTGGCAGAATAAGGAAAGGATGCACTGCTTTAGGTTAGGGGAAAATAGTAAAAAAAAATGTAGAGAAAGTACATTCTTAGGGGAGAGTCAGAGAGAAAATTGCAGTGGAGTGGAGAATCTATGAATGACAGAAACTGTGGACCTGTGCAGAAGGTACAGATGCACAGCAACAGCACGGACACAATATACAACCCAGCAGCCGAGCCAGAGAAAGCAACAGTTTTGGAGACAAAGGTGAGATCACACTACACTGGCCTGTGCCACTGATGATGTTGCTGGAGGGAGATCCTGGTAGGCTACAGTGTCTTTGAAAACTGTCTTGTAGCCCCATGGGCACAGGGTGCCTGCTACCCCAACTAAAGAAAGGAGCATGTTTCTCTCTCCCAATACCCCCACAACAACACCTGGCAACTGGCAGAGAGAGGGCACCATCTTGGATTTTAATGGCAGCTGCAGCAGCCTTGTAGGCATGCTGGCAGGGACAAGAAGCATTCTTGACAGCAATAGCAGAGACAGCATCTTCGATGCACAACCAAGAAATGGGCAGGGAAAAGGAGCCATTCTGACATCAGCACTAGCAGCAGAGGCTGTTGTATGCTGTGCAGAAAAGGCGCCATTTTGACACCAGTCATGGCTGTGGCAGCTCAGGTGTGGGTCTGAGAACCAGAGATTTTGACAGAGGAAAAGTCTGTGTTCCCCACTGACTTTGATTCTTTTTTTTTCTTTTCTTTTCTTTTTCTTTCTTTTGCGTTGGTGTGTGGTGTGTGTGTTTTTGTGGATACGGCAGAGTGGACAGTGAGAGAGACAGAGAGAAAGGTCTTCCTTTGCCGTTGGTTCACCCTCCAATGGCCGCTGCGGCCGGTGTGCTGTGGCCGGCGCACTGCGCTGATCCGAAGGCAGGAGCCAGGTGCTTCTTCCTGGTCTCCCATGCAGGTGCAGGACCCAAGCACTTGGGCCACCCTCCACTGCATTCCCGGGCCACAGCAGAGAGCTAGCCTGGAAGAGGAGCAACTGGGACTGAATCCGGCGCCCCGACCGGGACTAGAACCCGGTGTGCCGGCACCACAGGCAGAGGATTAGCCTATTGAGCCACGATGCCAGCCCCCCACTGACTTTGAGTCTGGAAAGGAGGGTTGAAGGGGGCTGTGAGGTGCCCCCAACTTCTCAACATATCTCAGGCTTTGGCAATCTAAACACCCAGGTGTAGCACCCACAGGCAGAAGACTGGGAATGCCTCAGTCTCGCCATGGATGGGACAGGCCAGCGGGGCAGAGTAGATCCTCTGTGCCCTATGTACTCAGACTGTGAGAGCCCTGTGACTGCATGAGAGGACATAGTGTAGCTGGGTATCTGGAAATCACTGTGTGTGGTCCACACTCTCAGAGCTCCCTGACTGCCTAGAGTGGGTCACTGCACTGAATCTGTGCTCACATTGAGAACTGCACAGATCCTTTGTGCAGTTCATGCTGCAGCATGGATGAGTATTGCATCCACTGTGGAATAACAACCGGACACTGATCAGCTTGTACAAAGGAGGTGATCATACCCTCTTTTCTATTAACAAGAAAGATTCTACCATGCCCAACTTTGGTGTTAACTTGGATACTTGCCCCGCTCTGGAGCATTGACCAGGCCCTCTAGACATAGACATTCCACTAAACCACAGAGGCATAGTTCAAAGATAAAAGCTCTATAGAATAATATACAGCAGTGAAAAACAACGAAATCCAGTCATTTGCAACAAAATGGAGGAATCTGGAACACATCATGCTAAGTGAAATAAGCCAGTCCCAAAGGGACAAATATCACATGTTCTCCCTGATCGGTGACAACTAACCAAGCACCAAAAAGGAAACCTGTTGAAGTAAAATGGACACTTTGAGAAACAGTGACTTGATCAGCTCTTGTCCTGTTGATGAACAACTTAATACTTTATCCCTCTTAGTATTTTTTTTCTGTTCTACTTAATACTATTGGTTGAACTCTGTAATTAATACACAATTTTTCTTAAGTGTTTAAATTTAACTTAAAAGTGATCCCTGTTAAATATAAGAGTGGGAATAAGAGAGGGAGGAGATGTACAATTTGGGACATGCTCAAGCTGACTTGCCCCAAACAGTAGAGTTAGAAATATACCAGGGATTCCAATTCAATCCCATCAAGGTGGCATGTACCAATGCCATCTCACTAGTCCAAGTGATCAATTTATGTCCACAATTGATCATATTGATAGGTCTAAGAGTCAAAGAGATCACATAAACAAGACTAGTGTCTGCAAATACTAACTGATAGAATAAAAAAGGGAGAGAACGATCCAACATGGGAAGCGGGATACACAGCAGACTCATAGAATGGCAGCTGTCCTAAACAGCACTCTGGCCTCAGAATCAGCCCTTAAGGCATTCGGGTGTGGCTGAAGAGCCCATGAGAGTATTTTAGGCATGGAAAGCCAAGACACTCTGGCAAAACAAAAACAAAAACAAACAAACAAACAAAAAAAACTATATGAAAGATCTCTGCGAGTGAGATCCCAGTGGAAAGAACAGGTCATCAAAGAAAGAGGTACCTTTCTCTGAAGGGAGGAGAGAACTTCCACTTTGACCATGGCCTTGTCTAAATATGATCAGAGTCAGCAAACTCAAAAGGCTTCCATAGCCTTGGCAACTCATGACAAGAGCCTAGGGAGATTACTGATGCCATAAACAAGAGTGTCAATTTGTTAAGTCAACAACAGGAGTCACTGTGCATTTACTCCTCATGTAGGATCTCTGTCCTTAGTGTGCTGTACATTGTGATTTAATGCTATACTAGTACTCAAACAGTATTTTTCACTTTGTGTTTCTATGTGGGTGCAAACTGTTGAAATCTTTAATATATGCTAAATTGATCTTCTGTATATAAAGATAATTGAAAATGAATCTTGATGTGAATGGAAGGGGAGAGGGAGCGGGAGAGGGGAGGGTTGCAGGTGGGAGGGAAGTTATGTGGGGGAAAAGCCATTGTAATCCATAAGCTATACTTTGGAAATTTATATTCATTAAATAAAAGTTTTTAAAAAAA